GTCAATACAAACATGACTCCTTGTAACAACGGTGTCAGTTTTGTTGCCAGATAAAAGGGTTAAAAAACAATTAGCATATTTTGCTACTGGCAAAGGAGGTTCCAATGGTGGAAACGGTGGGCTCGGTCAGAACCGCTTCCCGCCCCGCCTTTGTCTTCCCCAGTGTTGGTGTTCACACACCGTACCTGGTACTCATTTAAGGCTGAGTCGACCTAGGGGAGGCAAATGGATTTGGCCCGGATAGGTTCAGAAGGAGACTGTTTTGCCGCTGGTGTGATACCCGTGGCTGAGATAATGAACTCGGGTCGCCCTGACCATAGCGTACTCAGGTTTCCCTCGCTATTCGCGGGTTCGGTGTTTGCGGTTTCGCGCTGTATAAGCGGCTAATTCTATTTCTCCCCAAAATTCGCTTTATGCTGTTTGAATTCATTCTACATGCGGCTATGCGGTTGCGCTTGGGACAACATTGGTGTGTGCTGTGTTTACTCTGTGTGTACTGTGTGTGCTGTGTGTAGTGTGTGTATACTGTGTGTAGTGTGTGTATACTGTGTGTAGTGTGTGTACTGTGTGTAGTGTGTGTACTGTGTGTGTACTGTGTGTACTGTGTGTGCTCTGTGTGTGCTGTGTGTAGTGTGTGTACTGTGTGTAGTGTGTGTACTGTGTGTGTACTGTGTGTACTGTGTGTGTAGTATGTGTGTAGTGTGTGTAGTTTGTGTACTGTGTGTGTGCTGTGTGTGTACTGTGTGTAGTGTGTGTGTACTGTGTGTACTGCGTGTGTGCTGTGTGTACTGTGTACTATTTGTGCTGTGTGTACTGCGTGTGTGCTGTGTGTACTGTGTGCAATGTGTTTACTGTGTGTGTACTGTTTTTTTTCTTGTGTGTGTGTACTGTGTGTGTACTATGCTGTGTGTGTACTCTGTGTGTGTACTCTGCTGTGTGTGCACTCTGCTGTGTGTACTCTGTGTGTGTGTTTACTGTGTGTGTGTGTACTGTGTGTGTGTACTCTGTGTGTGTGTACTCTGTGTGTACTGTGTGTGTGTACTCTGTGTGTGTGTACTCTGCTGTGTGTACTCTGCTGTGTGTGTACTCTGTGTGTGTACTGTGTGTGTACTCTGTGTGTACTCTGTGTGTGTACTCTGCTGTGTGTATTCTGTGTGTGTACTCTGTGTGTACTCTGTGTGTGTGTGTACTCTGTGTGTGTGTGTACTCTCTGTGTGTATTCTGTGTGTGTACTCTGTGTGTACTCTGTGTGTGTACTCTGTGTGTGTGTGTACTCTCTGTGTGTACTCTGTGTGTGTACTCTGTGTGTGTACTGTGTGTGTGTGTGTACTCTGTGTGTGTGTGTACTCTGTGTGTATGTGTACTCTCTGTGTGTACTCTGTGTGTGTACTCTGTGTGTGTGTACTGTGTGTATACTCTGCTGTGTGTACTCTGTGTGTCCACTGTGTGCGCTACTCGGCAGGCAGCTGTCTCCTCGTGCGGTTGCGTGTTGTTCGCCCTGGTGGGATGTGTTCAATATGATAGGATGTCTACAATATGATGATGTGTGTGTACAATATGATGGGATGTCTACAATATGATGGTATGTCTACAATATGTATACTTATAAATGTCCCTATGTAGAGGGACAAATGTGTGAAGGAGGATAATTGTCTGCATAGTCGCGTTATCACGCGTATGTATATCACAACTCTGCGTAGTATCTTAACATAAATGCGAGCCGTATTGTTCCCAGCACGTGTGCTCTGGGTCGATTGTTCTTCATCGAAAGTGAGCAGCAGCTATTTAAATCATCACATCCGCAGACAACACGTGCCATGATGAAACATCTCTTTTTCTAGGTCATTTACGGATCCGTTGTTTCATTAAGTGTATGATACAGGATATGTTAATCACCAGTAATGTGTAAATCATATACTGTATCATATATTTATGCAGCCAACATAACACAGAGAGGAGATGCCTTCGGACAGCAGTAGGTTTACAGATGTTTATAAATTATTGTAAGAAGTATTAACTGCACCGTATTCCAGTGTATCTATTTATATAATGTATATTAATTGGACGTGTTTCGATTGCGGTACACACAAATGATTAATAAACACACGCACTTTTTTCTTCTTGGTTCTTTCGGTAAAGTCACGTAGAAGGGAAATAATAAAGTAATAAAAATAAAACATAATAAAATACAATTCTCACGACGTTTCGGCCACAACGCAAGCAGCCGTCCTCGGGTGAAGAACAGGGCTGTCGGAAAGACAGCGTCCACAAATATGTCTAAACTCCGTACAATGACACTCCGGTCAATCAAGCTCCACTCGTAAGATGACTCATTGTCCATCATACGATACGAAATCATTTCCCGAACGCTTTACATTTAACCCGCACAGCACTGCAAGAGGCTTCTGCTCTTCTGGCTGGAGGAGACGGTGAACTTTCGAAGCCACGTGGAGTGCGTTATGCACTTAGAATCCGTTAATCCGATAATGTGGACACTATTGAGTGTCGTCTTGTCTTCTAAACACACATTCTTAAGTCAGTTAATTATATTTATAACTTCTCATTCTGGAAAGCGCCTTACAAATATATGTATTATTATTATTATAGACTAAAACACTGCCCATAGACTTAACCCTGCACATAGACTCAACACTAGCCATAGACTCAACACCGCCCATAGGCTCAATACTGCCATAGACTCAACACTGCCCATAGACTCAACACTGCACCATAGACTCAACACTGCCTCATAGACTCAACACTGCACCATAGACTCAACACAGCACCATAGACTCAACACTGCCCATAGACTCAGCACTACGCATAGACTCAACACTGCCCATAGACTCAACACTGCCCATAGACTCAATACTGCCTATAGACTCAAGACTGCCCATAGACTCAATACTATCCATTGACTCGATACTGCCCATAGACTCAACACTGCCCATAGACTCAATACTGCCCATAGACTCCACACTGCCCATAGACTCAACACTGCCCATAGACTCAGCACTGCACCATAGACTCAGCACTGCACCATAGACTCAACACTGCCTATAGACTCAACACTGCCCATAGACTCAACACTGCCCATAGACTCAACACTGCCCATAGACTCAACACTGCCCATAGACTCAATACTGCCCATAGACTCAACACTGCCTATAGACTCAACACTACTCATAGACGCAATACTATCCATCGACTCAATACTGCCCATAGACTCAACACTGCCCATAGACTCAATACTGCCTATAGACTCAATACTGCCCATAGACTCAACACTGCCCATAGACTCAACACTGCCTATAGACTCAACACTACTCATAGACGCAATACTATCCATCGACTCAACACTGCCCATAGACTCAATACTGCCCATAGACTCAATACTGCCTATAGACTCAACACTGCACCATAGACTCAACACTACCCATAGACTCAACACTACCCATAGACTCAACACTGCCCATAGACTCAATACTGCCCATAGACTCAACACTGCCCATAGACTCAACACTACCCATAGACTCAACACTACCCATAGACTCAACACTACCCATAGACTCAACACTGCCAATAGACTCAACACTGCCCATAGACTCAACACTTCCCATAGGCTCAACACTGCCCATAGACTCAACACTACCCATAGACTCAACACTACCCATAGACTCAACACTACCCATAGACTCAACACTGCCAATAGACTCAACACTGCCCATAGACTCAACACTTCCCATAGACTCAACACTGCCGATAGACTCAACACTGCCGATAGACTCAACACTACCCATAGACTCAACACTGCCAATAGACTGAACACTGCCGATAGACTCAACACTACCCATAGACTCAACACTGCCCCATAGACTCAACACTGCCCATAGACTCAACACTGCCCATAGACTCAACACTGCCCATCGACTCAATACTGCCCATAGACTCAACACTGCACCATAGACTCAACACTGCCCATAGACTCAACACTACCCATAGACTCAACACTGCCAATAGACTCAACACTGCCGATAGACTCAACACTGCCCATAGACTCAACACTACCCATAGACTCAACACTACCCATAGACTCAACACTGCCAATAGACTCAACACTGCCCATAGACTCAACACTTCCCATAGACTCAACACTGCACCATAGACTCAACACTACCCATAGACTCAACACTACCCATAGACTCAACACTGCCCATAGACTCAATACTGCCCATAGACTCAACACTGCCCATAGACTCAACACTACCCATAGACTCAACACTACCCATAGACTCAACACTACCCATAGACTCAACACTGCCAATAGACTCAACACTGCCCATAGACTCAACACTTCCCATAGACTCAACACTGCCCATAGACTCAACACTACCCATAGACTCAACACTACCCATAGACTCAACACTACCCATAGACTCAACACTGCCAATAGACTCAACACTGCCCATAGACTCAACACTTCCCATAGACTCAACACTGCCGATAGACTCAACACTGCCGATAGACTCAACACTACCCATAGACTCAACACTGCCAATAGACTGAACACTGCCGATAGACTCAACACTACCCATAGACTCAACACTGCCCATAGACTCAACACTGCCGATAGACTCAACACTGCCCATAGACCATGAACACTCTACACGCTGCACCATGAACATCCTACACACTGCACCGGCTTCTGAAAAATCCTAAGATTGTTAAATCACGTAGACATTTACAGCAGCAAAATCATATAAATAGCCAGAGATTGTTAAATCCTGGCGTACCTGTACCCGCCTGTGCGAAATTTACCCCTATTGTGCTTCGCGCAAAAAAAAAAGTAATAATTGCGCGCAGTTTATTGAATTCATATTATTATTATCTGTGATGCCTGCTAGGAATTGGAGAATGCCCCCCCCCCCCCCGCCCGCTCGCCCACGCAGCGTACCGCGAGCATTGACACCAAAAGCGGCGGCCGTGGCTGCTTTAGTAACAACGACGCAAAACAAGAGAGGGGAGAAGACGTTAAAGACCCCACGGCATCAGTCGGAAATGTTAACGCGTGTTGTTCGCCCTCGTCTCGCCGTCCATATATATAAACCCGCTGTTAGAAATTACCTCCATTTACTAAATTATCGCACTATATATATATATAACATATATCATACAGGAGGGGTAATTTTTTTTCTAATGTGATAAATGCGGGCTCTTACCCCGCGACACAATGCCCGCCTGTGTGTGTGTGCTCTTGCCCTGGATCCCACGTGCACGCGCGCATACGCACGCGCCTGCCACGGCGAGCGCTTGAAGACACGGTCTCTATGGAGCGCTTGAAGACACGGTTTCTATGGAGCGCTTGTAGACACGGTCTGTATGGAGCGCTTGAATACAGGGCTCCATGGAGTGCTTGAAGACACGGTCTCTATGGAGCGCTTGAAGACACGGTCCACATGGAGCACTTGAAGACACGATCTCTATGGAGCGCTTGAATACAAGGTCTCTATGGAGCGAGCCACTGGTGTACGTCATGCTCGCCGTGGTACCAGGTACGGGCCCAGGAAAGGAGATGATATTCGGCGCAAAATGTAGTCGAGTCGATGCTCACAACTCGGACAATTACGAGGATTTGGTTGCTGCTGCTATAAATGTTCACGTGATGATGATGAGCCAATTCGTTGAGCTATCATTTGTGGCCAGGCAGCTTCTGAAAAAGCCCGATATAGCTAAGTGGGCCTTACCTGGTAAAATAAAAAATAATTTTTTTTTTAATTATAGCCCATAAAAATGTTTAAGTACGAACCGATGGCTGAATGGTTTCACTCCGTATAGGGCACGGTTGACCATGAAGTTCTGCTTTGGTTAAGTCTAAGCACGAAACAAATATATGATCCACATCATCGGGTGACAGGCTGGTGCAGTGCTAACACGACGTCCCAGTTCGATTCCTGGCTCGGGCAACTTTCTGTTTGCATATTATGTATGTACGTATGCATATTGAACTTCTTTCGCACCGTACGTAGCCAACCGTGCTCATCGGCGGTGCGGGGGAAGGACAACAAACTAAACATACAAAAACAATTGTAAAAAAACGAGTTAAGAGTGTATAGCTTCAGTTTATTCCTGATGTCAGAGGGAAGAGTGTTCCAGACGACTGCACAAATGCATCCCCCTCGTTCTGCATGGAGTGTCCTCCTGTAGCTCACAAACAAACAATGCATTGTAATTGCATGGTATTGGCCAAAACACATCACAATGCTGAAGCAATAACGTCCCCTTCTGCGAAAACTTAGCAAGAGCCTCCTGAAGATAATTTAATTAAAACTCAGTGAGGCTTTCCTGGGTTAACAGGCGGAGTCATCATGCAAAAATACAAAGAGTTGGTCGTCAGCAAAAACATGGAAATAATACTAATTTGAGAAATAAGGACACTAGTAAACGGACAGGGATGAGATACATGATTAGCCAGCTATAGTTTGAGACTTCATCTCATGTTCATACTCCATGAAGGAAGACGCAGAAATTCATCTTTCAGTTTTCATCTTTCAGATTATAAAAAAACAAACTAAATTTTTCCAGGAAGTACGACGTCCCGAAACAGCGGGTAACACGGATACGCAATGTGAAGTTACAACATGTAGCTTAGGAAAGGAGTCCGTTTTATTTCATCCGCTATTAGACTTGGTAAGAGCGCAGCGTTCTGATTTAGCAACGTGTGTGAAATCCGCGCGGCGCGGTAATGATGACCGTGTTTGCAAAGAAATACAGCACCCAGTGCCCCCTTCAGAATCAGAAAGGGTTTAATTCGCCATGAAAGTTCGCACAGACAAGGAATTTACTATGGCAGGAAGGTGCATAAATTCAACATGTAGGGATCTTAAAACTTAAATAAGTGGTATACAATAATTGGTTGTTTACCCTTCTATCTGGCAACAAAACTGACACCTTTTTTTTAACAACCAATTATCATATTTTTACTGGCAAATGAGGTTCCCATAGTGTAAGTGGTATTCAGTCTAATTATACTAAAGATACAAAGTCTAACTAATACTAAGGGGCTAAAGTATGTAAAATGTTGAATAAGTATACAATATAAAATGTGAATTAGCCGTAATATACAATCTTAAAATACAAAAATACAAATAGGGTAACATGTTGTAAATATGGCAAGGTGTAATTTTGTAGATAAAATGTTATAGTGAGTGTAAAAGTCATTTTAAGTGTAAAAGTCATTTTAAGCCCTTGGCCTTGTTGAAGAGAGGCCAACAGCGGATGGGAAGAAACTGTTTTTATGACGAGAGGTTTTGGTCCTGATGGACCGCAGCCTTCTGCCGGATGGGAGTAGCGCCTCATTTCAGAATGAGTCTGGAATGCCCAATCCATCTCACATTAAGTGGCCCTTTTAAAAATTATAATCCTATTCATAGCGTTATAGGTGCACATGTATGAACATTAAATATGCATGACACAGGTGTCAGCAAATGGCAGGGTGTATACGGCGGTGCTGTCCCTGCACTGGTGGTGCTGAATTTCAGCCGGACCAGTCGCGAACAATTTTCTGCGACGGAAATTCTATTGCCACCCAGCCACACTCGTCCCGCCTTGTGTTATACATCTGTTCGTAGCATTGTAGGAATGTGGGGTACAATAATATAGAATTATAATGTTTATAAAATATGGCGTTACCTCGTACACTCAAGGGCATGAGTGGGTAACCTTCGGCTAGACTGCTTCGTGACGTTCTTCACGCGCATTGGGGCTCTTGACGTATGGAGTACATTTATTGTTTGTTTCCAGATTTCTAAAAAATGCCTCTTCTTGTTCTCTTGCTTGCCGACCCCTGCCCTGGTGGTAGTTCCTTACGCCCATAATCCTGACGCCGTGCCGGCCTCGAAGCGTTCCGGAAAACATCGAGCGAAAAATCGAAGCCCCGCCCGTGTGTATCAACAACAAGCATTTTACGGGTGGCGCGGTTCCGAAAAGGGTAATTCTTTGACACGCAAACAGCGCCATCCACTCATCCAATTAACCAAAAGCAGAGCCCTCTAATTAATTTCCAATTATCATCGAGCTCCGCGGGCACAATCTCAGCCCGCCACCCACACGTGGACGGCAGATTCGTTAATGGACATGCTTTTAGGCCCCTCCAGACTCGGGGTCCCCACTGCGACAAAAGCGCTGGAGCCAGTGGCGTGCACCTGCGCAGTGGACTAGCAGCCGCTATTAGCGCCGCTGCGAACGGCGATTGAAGAGTGCCACTTACCGTGGCCAGTATTTGTATTGGTCCGTGCACACGCGAACGGACATTCAGTGGGTCCACAGCCCCCAAAATGTGTAAATGACGAGACATGTCATAGGAACACAATCATAAACTAAAAGTATGTTTTTTTTATTTTACCAGGTAAGGCCCACTGAGCTACGTAGATATTTTTCAGAAGCGACCTGGCCATAAACAATGATAGCTCAACGAAGCGGCTTATTATCACGTAGACATTGATAGCAGCCAAATAGTCCACGCGACCACGGGGAGAAACATGCGAATTCCAAATATACGGGCGTCAGGGTCGGGATCGAATCCACGACCATCGTGGCGCCAGTTTCAAACAACACATGGTAATGCGAACATAAAGCACACGGGCTTTGTGCATTGTTCAAACACCATCAGCAATTTCCTGCAAGCGTGCACGTTGAACTTCTTTCGCACCGTACGTAGCCAACCGCGCTAAGCGCAGGTGCGGTGTATTGTGGACCACTTTGTCTTAAATCGCCACCTACTTCAATCCGAGCCAAAGTAAACGACTGACAACAGCAGAAGCAGTGAGACGGCTCTGGACCAGTCACCGCATCACGTTCAATCACATTTATTCTGACGATGATCTAAGATGTGAGAATCACAGTGCACTTCCGCAGGAAATGCTGATGGGTTTTGTTGTAATTAACAAATGGCTGTGAGCTTTCACGCGAATTTGAGCGTTGTTTGAATCGCTGCCTCATCTGTACCTCCTGTCATGTCGCTACATCTTCATCTCTCGTCTGTATCTCTTCTGTCATCTCATTAGGAGTTCGTAGGTATACACATGAACATCGGAGGGAGGGAGGGGAGGGAGGGAGGGAGGGGAGGGGAGGGAGGGGAGGGGAGGGAGGGGCGGGAGGGGAGGTGCCTTCGCCGCTATAGTGCTGGTAGCGCAGCAGCAGGGGATTTGTGTTTCTTGTTGGTGTCTATGAACACAGTAACACACAATGGGACTAATGTTACACGGGAAACCCGCGTTATATCTTTGATTATTAAAGGGAGCACATAAAAAAATACCAAAAAAATACAAAAAATAACGACATGATGAACGAAGTAAATTGCCGAAAGACCGAACATCTTTCTCGTCTGATCGTTAAAAAAAAAGAACTAAAAAATAAAAATAAAATAAGGGAGGGAGGGAGGGAGGGAAAAATTAATATCTGCTCAGGGCCTCAATTGGTTACATCTCCATGGTCGCCAGCCTCTGACTGCCACTCCAATGTCCGTCTCGTTGTCCTGCCCTCCACCACCTCCACCACGTGTCTCACCCATCACTACCTCCTCCTCCTATTCCCAACCTTAAAGTTGCCTACCCTATCTTCCTCCACCCTGCACACGTGTCCCATCACATCCTCCCCTTCTTCGTGATTACACCTATAACGCTTTCCTGCCAAGTTTTAATATCAACTCACAAGTTGTTTACACTATCATGCAACGAACTTGACATTAATCTCTGTATGAACCTATACTCAAGGGCTAGAATGTAATTTTATCGAGTAACTTATTCCTTTCCTAAGATTACGTAGTCAGAAATGAAAACAACAGAGAGGAATGCACGAGTTTAATTAATATGCCTTGCGCGCACGTCACGTAACAACCACAATGCATGTGTAATAATGATCAACCTTGCCTAAACCACAAACTCAAAATAGAATACATTACAAGGCCTCGTAAGAATCGTGATAGTTTGCGTCGTGGAAGCAGCACACCTTCGCCTGTTGTTATGTTTATTTGTTTACAGCCTGCGGCACCCTCTGATCTTGATGGGTTGTCTCATGAGTTACAGAAAGTGATGGATATGTATTTGCAGGAAGGAGTTTGAGGGTAGTAAGGAAAATCACGCGAGAAAATCAATGCTAAATATTTATACGAAATAATAGATATGGTAAAGCATGCGTCACGCTTTTATCATTGCAATGTCTTGAAGACAAACGAGATCGTGAAAGTGAAAGTTAATTCATTTTTAATGGAAACGGGGAATTAAGTCAGTTTGAGAACTGAATTACCGTATTCTCTGGATAACAGCCACGCCTCGGAAAGTAAGACGCACTCAAAACGTTGCGGTAGTTTTGAGAAATAAAAAAACGGTCTGAGAAACACGATATCCCACCTGATGACGGAGACTTGTGTTGCCTCCGAAACGTCGTGATTTTTATTATTTTACTTTCATTAATTTTAATTTCATTTTTTACCGACGTGACTTTACCGAAAGAACTAAGAGTATGAATCATTGCAGTCACGAAAGCTTCAAATCTAGAAAGTTAACGTCTCGCCAACGCGGCGCCCCCTGGTGCCAATAAAATACGCGATAAAAATCGGTCACAAACACATACCAACACTGGCCGATAAAAGGCAACCCCAACGTTTACTTTAAAATATTGTGGGGTGGGGAAAAAGTGTGCGTTTATAATCCTGAGCATACGGTATACGTGCTAAAGCGCAACCCTGCAATTGCCTGTTACCGCGACTGCTGGCGAAAGGGCCTCCACTAGAGGGAGCTCTACAGACCTCATCTCGAAAGTAAATTGTGGCTTACTCTTCCACGCCGGGCAGACGTCTCGGAAGTCAATACGGTAAGAGCAGTTAGTAACTTCCTTGATCCGACCCGGAGCAACAGGGAAAGATCATCGGCCCACCGGAGCGAGGTGATCGCGAGCGGAACAAAAGCGGAGCTGTGGGCCGTGTGGAAGACTTGTGATTGTGTTGTTGTATCGCTAAAGCAGGCAACAAATCACAGTGTTCCGCATGGAGCGGTGCTCCTTCCATCGGCCGCGGCGTGGCCAATGCGGACTCCAGCTGCGGAGGGACAGCCCCGAGGTGATGTCAGACACACAAAAGGTGCCTCTGGTATGTCAAGATCACGGGGAAGGGAACGACCCTTTCCTTGCCGCAAGAGAGATACCCACAAGCCCGCAACCGCACATCAACACCCCGAAACACATATTGACGTTATCTATTAATAATAAACTGTTATATGGCAATAGCGTGACAAATTGTTAGGATGCACCTTTACTGAACATGATAACATTAGAAATAAAGCGTTTGGCAAGTGGAAAGTAACCCCCTCCAGTACCCAATTAGTACGACTGAGATGGTGACGGTAACAGATACAAAAATGTGTCTGGACCCTTTGAGAGTGGTATGCTTTCTGTGGCCACGAGGTTGGATGAGATGAAGTTGCCGGTCACATTTGGGACCAGTTTGAGAATTGAAATTACCGTATTCTTGGGTTCGAATCCAGGTTTCAGCCATGATTAAGACAGGCGCTCCGAGACCACGACGCTGAACACGCGGCAGTGGTTGCTAGGGATTACGTCGGCGCTCCCACTGCACCAGCCAATCGGCTGCCAGGAAGACAACCGCCCCCCCCCCCCCCCCATGCAACATGGCCGTCGTGAAGCTCCCATGCAACATGGCCGCCGTGACGTCATCGCTCACGTGCTTCAGCTAGTCTGCAGCTGAATAAAGTATATTTATAACATCGATGTTTATTAAAGTAACGCGAGTGTAAATGTGTGTGCCTTTATTTGTCCGAATGTGCGAGTGCGTGCAATTGTTCAAGTGTGTAACCTTTCATGCCAACATGATTTATGCGCGTGTGTGAAAGAGATAACGATCGTGTTTTACTGGTAGGAACTTCCTGGTTACACCAGCCCACAGGGGATTATTGTGTCCGTCTGTCCATCGTGCAGGGAGGGGCTGGGTGGGGAGGGGAGGGTGGGGAGAGGAGGGTGGGGAGGGGCTGGTCACCCCGTGGTGCCCTTATAAAACTCAACGTTTAACCTACTCACGCCGGCTTGTGCCCGCCCTCACAGTCGGGCATATTTGCGGAATACACCACGCCGCCGTTGACCCTGGCCATTGACCGAGCAACCCAACGTTCCTACCAGCTCCCTCCGCAGGAATGTGTTATTGTGATACAACACATGGGAAGAAAGTGTACAGGGGGCTCATAGAACATCAGCAGAGACATTTTATAGACGTGACTTCCCAGTCAATCCACCCAGTCAACCGTTTGACTTGTATTGTTTCCAGTGTTAAATAATATCAATGGGAGTAATGTGTACAATACATCTGTTCAATCTGATAATCATCATTTACTGTCATTAATTTCGCCTTCACCGAATTCACAGATTTGCCCCCCATTGCTTCCTCTCATCTATTTCATTCTCCTCGTCTCCACCACACAGCGTTGGTGTACGGTGTTTTTTCAGCAATATTTTGCTGTCTTTAATTGGATTTTCTGTTTGCACTCAGTCACGTATTCACTTTAAGATGTTTTTTTTGTTCATGTTTTTGTTTTTTGTTTGTTGCGGTTGCACCCGATTCAAGAGCCGAATGGCTCACAGGGCTATACCTAATAAATGAACTTGAACTTGAACCATCACATTCATCCGTACTATTGTTAATTCTGCGTAAAGCGCCTTGCTTAAGGCGCCACATAAATTCCGTTACTATAAAATAAGACATTTAAAATAAGTTGTGGTACGTGTAATGCTGATCATTATATTTGAAAGTAATTGCGGGTCGCATTGTTGACACGAGAAATCATTGCTTTTCCCTGATTACTGAAATACTGTCTGAGCGCTAAATGCAATGCGTACATTTAACGAGACATGCCGAGCCACAACAAGCGAGTTTAAGCGAGCGTTAAACTCACCGTAGGAGTCAGAGAGAGAGAGGCATCGTGTGTGCAAGGACTCGGCCACGTGTTGCTTGATTTGTGACGCTGTTGGCGCGTCGATAGCCACGTCACAGGAACGCGGCGGTGACGTCATCGTCGGCGCGTGGCGGAGAGTGCGGGCAGGGCTCCAGCGTGGAGGGGCTCCAGCGTGGAGGGGCTCCAGCGTGGAGGGGCTCCAGCGTGGAGGGGCTCCAGCGTGGAGGGGTTCCAGGGTGGAGGGGTTCCAGCGTGGAGGGGTTCCAGCGTGGAGGGGCTCCAGCGTGGAGGGGCTCCAGCGTGGAGGGGCTCCTGCGTGGAGGGGCTCCAGCGTGAAGGGGATCCAGCGTGGGGGGGGCTCCAGCGTGGAGGGGCTCCAGCGTGGAGGGGTTCCAGCGTGGAGGGGCTCCAGCGTGGAGGGGTTCCAGCGTGGAGGGGCTCCAGCGTGGAGGGGTTCCAGCGTGGAGGGGTTCCAGCGTGGAGGGGTTCCAGCGTGGAGGGGCTCCAGCGTGGAGGGGCTCCAGCGTGGAGGGGTTCCACCGTGGAGGGGCTCCAGCGTGGAGGGGTTCCAGCGTGGAGGGGCTCCAGCGTGGAGGGGTTCCAGCGTGGAGGGGTTCCAGCGTGGAGGGGCTCCAGCGTGGAGGGGTTCCAGCGTGGAGGGGCTCCAGCGTGGAGGGGCTCCAGCGTGGAGGGGCTCCAACGTGGAGGGGCTCCAGCGTGGAGGGGCTCCAGCGTGGAGGGGTTCCAGCGTGGAGGAGTGTGGCGGTGGGGGAAGGGAAGCCTGGAACGCAACGCAGTTCAAGTTTCATGTATTAGGTATAGCCCCGTGAGCCATGCGGCTCTTGAGTCGGGTGCAACCGCAACAAACACAAATATGAACAGAAAACATCTTAAAGCGACGACGCGCAACAGAAACATCCTGTATAAGCCAGCAAATCTTCCAGAAAAAAAACTATCCACAGCCCCTCCCCCCTCCGAGTGCTGTTGTGCACGCGGCGTGGTCTCATTCATGAGTTCTGAACACTCTGCTGCAAGTGAGCACAGCGGCAGTATTCTTAGTTTTTTTCGGTAAAGTCACGTAGGTAAAACATTAAAATTAATAAAAGTAAAATAAAATAAAAATCACGACGTTTCGGAGGCAACACAAGCTTCCGTCTTCAGGAGGAACCGTCACAGCCATGGCGTTTTACCTACGTGACTTTACCGAAAAAACCTAAGAATATGAATCCTTGCAGTCACGAAAGCTTCAAATCTAGAATGACAGCGGCAGTGTTCAGATCTCACGCGGTCCCCCTTTGAAGTTAGTCCTGACCTCAATCACTTTGCTGCCCAGAGAAGGAGACGTTGCTGCAGCGAGTATTGGTAACTTGAGGATTACGTACAGTTCTAGATTTGAAGCTTTCGTGACCGCAAGGATTCATATTCTTTGGTTTTTTCGGTAAAAGTCACGTAGGTAAAAAATAAAATAACTAAATTAAATCACGACGTTTCGGAGGCAACACAAGCTTCCGTCTTCAGGTGAAACAGTCACAGCAAAATAGCTGTGACAAAAACGTCGTGATTTTATTTATTTGTTTTCTTTTTTAACCTACGTGACTTTACCGAAAAAACCAAAGAGTATGATCCCGTACAGGTTTGGCCGGAACCACGCCCCGAGCGTCTTTGTCTTCCCCAGTGCTGATGTTTACCCACCGCACCAGGTACTCACTTAAGGCTGAGTCGACTGAGGGGAGGCCCAGGATTTGCCACTGATGTTATCCGTGCCTGGGGGGAATGAACTCGGGTCGTATCGTGTGTGCAGGTTTTTCTCGCTTTACGTTGGTACGGTTATGCGGTTTGAAATCACCCTATCTGCAGCTATGCGGTCGGACGTGGGAACAACGTTTGTGTTTAGTTTGTTGTCCTTCCCCCGCACCTCCAATTGGCAGGGTTGGCTACGTACGGTGCGAAAGAAGTTCAACACACATCGCATTACCCTTTGGTTCTTTCGGTAAAGTCACGTATCGAGTAGAAATAAAATAAAACAAATCACGACGCTTCGATCGCAACACAAGCAATCTTCACCAGGTGGGACATTCACAGCAAGAAAATGCTGAAGTTGGCGAGAAAGCTGCCGTGGCAAGAGGTTATATCCGTAAGAAAGGGGGAGGCAAGGGGGGAGAGAGAGAGGGGCGTTTGGTTTTGGGGAAGGGGGGGCTGCGTGAACGCTATGGGAAGAGGACGTGAGGCTGGGGGGGGGGGGGGGAGTGGGCGGAGCTAGAAGTAGAAGCTGAGTGTGGGACACGGGGAGGAAAAAAAGAAAAATGTGCTCGTAAATCGGCAGGTACAATGGAAACAACCACAACCAGTGAAGGCATTACCTGGTGAATAACATTCCTCCATCAGCTTGGTTTTTTCGGTAAAGTCACGTAGAAGGGAAATAATAAAATCATAACAATAAAACATAATAAAATACCATTCTCACGACGTTTCGGCCACAACGCAAGCAGCCGTCCTCGGGTGAAGAACAGGGCTGTCTTTCCGAAACGTCGTGAGAATTGTATTTTATTATGTTTTATTGTTATTATTGTATTATTTCCCTTCTACGTGACTTTACCGAAAGAACCAAGAAGATGAATCCCTGCAGTCACGAAAGCTTTAAATCGAAATTTAACATCCTTCCAATGATTGTTCAATTTGTATCCATCATACATAGCACTGTTTGCGCTACTCGGCAGGTAGCTAACGCATCTACTACCGCACAAAGCAAAGGAAACTCGTGTGCGTGTGTGTGCGCGCGATTAGCGAGCGCTGTGCCAAAGTTACACTAAGGCTAAACAAAACTGCACACACAAGACTTGGGGGGGAGGGGGGGTGGAAGCAAGAAACCTCATAATAAATAAAACGACGCAAAAAAAAAGTGATATAATTGAATCGAGCCAGAACCAAGGATCGGGACAATTCATCGGTTGACTGCATGGCACGCATTGTTCACGAGTGTCGGTCAGTAGTCACCGTTGGCCTCGTTGCTCAACCGATTTGGCATCCTTTTAAAACATTCAATAACACGTGCTCTCGCGCTTTCTCTCTCTCTCTCTGTGTGTTGTCTTTACAGGGAAGTTTGTCTTTCGTTGGCAACAAGAATAGCGGCCGAGCGGAGAAGTTGCCGTTGAGTTTTGGCGGACGATTGAATTAAATGTCATGGAAGTGCTTCTACGTCGTCTGTCATTCACTACCCTTCACATTTTTTCTCCAAAGAAACATATCCCCCCGTGTAGCCTTAACAAATTTTTGGGGCAAGTGCTGTTTAACGAGCACCTAACAAGGTCAACGCGGCACACGAAGGGGTTGGTGGCCAGCCCCACGCTCCCGGCCGCCTTTGTCTCCCCAGTGGTCATATTTACACACCGCACCAGGTACTAACTTGAGGCTGAGTCGACCTAGGGGAGGCCCAGGACCGTCACAGATAATCGCCGCTGATCTTGGCCGTGAGCGGTAATTGAACTCGGGTCGCGGGTTGTATTTGGATTGCCAACCAACAACTCTACTCTCCTTTTGTATCTGGATTGTCAATCAACATCGAGTAAAACATCAACAAGATGCACCAAATAGTGATAGGTTTTTACCCTTTCAACTGGTACAAAAACTGACACCTTTATACAAGGCATCATGTTTGCAATAACCACAACACAAGCAGTCAAAATGCAAACAAAAAGAAACAACTCTGATGATGATAATGATATGCACTGTCCTTGAAGTTGATTGGTCCACACCCGCGACAGCTTTTCTTAGAGCCTAGTCTCCATTGGTGTTGGACCAGATGACGCCAAAAGGTGTACAACTCAAAAACAGCGCACTATCAGAGTATTGAGATGCACCAACTGTTCTATTTTAGCCCCCCCCCCCCCTAACACGTTCCACTCATTGGCTTCCTCATTCAGATAAGCCCCTCCCCCTTCCCTCCCCCCTTAAACTTGTATTTAAGAGCTTGTCTCTTGGAATTTTGCCTCACTTGAGACAGTCAATTTAGCTGTGACGGTCCCACCTGATGACGGAGACTTGTGTTGCCTCCGAAACGTCGTGATTTATTATTTTATTTCTATTATTATTTCAGTTATATATTTTTACAGGTAGGAACAATGTTCCACATTGCCCACCGGGGATTTTTGGTGACTGTCTGTCGTGCGTAAATATTTAAATAATATGAACAGCTCTTTGATTGGTGGAGACCTACTGCCGGGTCCGGAGAGGGGAGGGGCCTAAGGAAAGGGGGGTAAGGGGAGGGGCCTAAGGAAGGGGGAGGCGCCGATAATTAAGGGGGCTGGCTACCTGGTCCGGCTGCCTGGCTACCTCAAGTCACGTGATCTTGTACACATGTAGGAATAACAGGTTCCACACTGCCCACCAGGGATTAGTTGTCTGTCGTGCATATTTGTATGTCGTGCACGAATGCGCTGTCCAAACAAGTTCCTACCTGCCCACTCCGAAGGAATGTGTTTTGCCTACGTGACAGGGTAAAAAACCAATTATCATATTTTTTACTGGCAAATGAGGTTCCAATGGTGTAAATGCTTACCCCGAGCTCTCATACTCTGATGGTGCATTGTCTTTGAGTTGTGCGCCTTTTGGCGTCATCTGGTCCAACCCATGTGAGACTAGGCTCTAAGGAAAGCTGTCTCGGGTGTGGACCAATCAACGTCAAGGACAGTGCACATTATCAGAGTTATGTTTTTTGTTTGCATTATGACTGCAGATATTGTGGTCTATGCAAACATGACTCCTTGTAACAAAGGTGTCAGTTTTGTTGCCAGATAGAAGGGTAACAAAAACAATTATCAGGCATGGGCTTATTCATTCCGCGTGATTAGAATTCTCCACAACGGAACGTTATGACTGCGCTCGTGGCATACACTTTAGATCCAAGTGGTGTAACTGTTATCTCTTATCTCCCATAAATATGCTAATATCCCTTTGATATGCAAATTATTTTGTCAAGGCGCTCTTCCTCCTCCCTCCCAGCTTAAATAGACGCTCCAAGCCCAGGACGTGTCATTCAGACTCTGTCTTATCGACAGACCTGTTCTTCACCTGAGGACGGCTGCTTGCGTTGTGGCCGAAACGTCGTGAGAATTATTTTATTATGTTTTATTTTTATTATTTTATTATTTCCATTCTACGTGACTTTACCGAAAAAACCAAGAAGATGAATCCCTGCAGTCACGAAAGCTTTAAATCGAATTTCAAGTGCGATCTTTCAATTGTGATCATGATATTGCGAGAACGGGACCTGTCATGGGAATGTGGAAAATAATAAAAATAAAACATAATAAAATAATTACCTTCTCTAGTGAGAATTATTTTATTATGTTTTATTTTTTTTATTCTCTAGTGAGAATTATTTTATTATGTTTTCCTTTTTTTATTTTATTATTTCCATTCTACGTGACTTTACAGAAAGAACCAAGAAGAAGATGGTGTAACTGTGTTCGTAGACTGGAAGGAGGAGGAGAATGAGAAGAAACCCGGTGACTTCGCTTGTTTTTAAGCACAGCGGCAGCGCAATTCGGTAGCCGTGGAGGGAAAAGTCCTTGAAGGATGCCCATCACACCCCCGTCAAGTCCACGCGTCTGGGTCACTGCACACGGACGGGATGCGACTCGGCTGTCTGCGGGGGTGATCTCGAGTAGATTTCGCGATGTTTTCTTAGATGATGACAGAACAATTAGCCTGTAATTGGCAAAAATTGCCTACTTGGGGTATAATTGATGGCACAATTAGTGGATGCAATTTGTGAAATTGCATCGTGGTGAGCATTGCTTTAAATGTGTATTATTGGACCAAATACTGGAAAATTGTTAAGTCTGTTTGGAAGTGACTGCTGGAATAACAATTATAATGATAATAATCAGCGGCAATGTCTACATTCAGTATATTAAACATTAAACAATCTGTGCCGTGTGATGTTTCTTTGTCGGGGAATAACAATGGACGGGGACTTTTTGTTTCTCTCTCTCTCTCATTGGCGGAGGGATACGTGTGAGTATTGTGACGAGGAGTGATGAGTCTTGTGTTGTGAGCACGAGGCGTTAGTCTATCCATAATAGAGAGGGTTTTTTGGGGGGGTTAGATCGCGAAAATATAAATGTGTCGTTAAACCCACCACCACCCGACGCAGCCAATTAGTAATGTTTGTCGCGTAAACGAAACACGCCGACGTGTTGAAGTATTAGTCTACACTCATGTAGTGACTAAAACGCAGTGAAACATTTAATCAAACACCCTCAGTTATTAACGCGATCGATAAGCAGACAGCGTTGTGTTCAAAGGTTCGTCTCTCCATACACACAAAACAAACACATTCCTGCGGAGGGAGCTGGTAGGAACGTTGGGTTGCTCGGTCAATGGCCAGGGTCAACGGCGGCGTGGTGTATTCCGCAAATATGGCCGACTGTGAGGGCGGGCACAAGCCAGTGTGAGTAGGTTAAACGTTGAGTTTTATAAGGGCACCACGGGGTTACCAGCCCCTCCCCATCCAGCCCCACCCCTCCCACCCCCCCACCCAGCCCCACCCTCCCCACCCAGACCCTACCTCCCCATCCAGCCCCACCCCACCCAGCCCCTCCCTCCCCACCCAGCCCCTCCCTGCACGACGGACAGACGGACACAATAATCCCCTGTGGGCTGGTGTAACCAGGAGGTTCCAACCAGTATGAAACAGGTACATCACGGTGAGTATGACAAGGTATGAAAGAATACGAATAAATATTTTCTTAACCCTTTCTGGCAATAAACCAAGATGTTCAAACAGTCAATCAAAACCCATCTATTTGGCGTTTGATGTTCAAACAGTCAATCAGTTTTTTAAAAAGCAATGCGTATCTTATCAGAGCATCCTTGATTTGGAGCTTTCAAACTTGATTTGGAGCTTTCGTGACTGCAGGAATTATTTTTTGGTTCTTTCGGTAAAGTCACGTAGGAAAAGAAATAAATAATAGAATACGAAGTATTAGAGCATATTCTTATGTTATTTCGGTAGGTAAAACATAAAAATTAATCAAAGTAAAGTAAAAATAAACTAAAAATCACGACGTTTCGGAGGCAACACAAGCTTCCGTCTTCAGGTGGAACCGTCACAGCACGATAGCTGTATCAAGTGAGAGAAATTCCAAGAAAACAGTCCTTGTATATATACTGGTTGAGGGTGGGAGGAGCCAAGGTGGGGCCTGAATATTATTATTGTGAGGTTCGGTGCGGCTGAAGCACGCTGTTAGGAAGACCTGAAGACGGAAGCTTGTGTTGCCTCCGAAACGTCGTAATTTTTATTTTATTTTTCATTTAACTTTTATTAATTTAAATTAAAAATTTTTTACCTACGTGACTTTACCGAAAAAAACCTAAGAATATGAATCCTTGCAGTCACGAAAGCTTCAAATCTAGAATTAGAGCATGTTTGTTTGCATGCTTTGACACAAGCACTGTGTGTGGTTATTGCAGACTTGATGCCTCGCAAAAACAGGCGTTTGAACATCTTCATTTACCAGCAAGGGTCAAACTTATTCTTAGTTTTTTTCATTCTTTTGATACTGGCAAAAATGTCCCGCGGATAGCAGGACAATAATTGTGACGTCAAGGAAATGATTTTGCAGAGTGCTAGTGTACAAGTAGGGCAGTAGACGTGGAGAAATTTGACCATTTACGAAATGCAACACATTCATCAATAAGACTGTGGCCTTCAACGGAAAACTATATAATAGGCGACGTTTCGGGGGATGCCCCTTTTTCACAGCAGATTTTTACATTCAGTTGTTGTTATTCGTGCTTAGTGCACCGCTGCCAACGCAGCATCGTCAAATAACGCGGTGAATGATCGTGGTTTGTTATTGCGTAGAGAGTTTGTCTGGAAATAACATAAAAAATGTATCAACTTGAATCACGATATGCCGATAAGATAACGTAGATCTTATGGGTCCTCACTCATCCAGCAGTTGAGAGACAAAAGCGGGTGGGAGGGTCCTCACTCATCCAGTAGTACAGAAACAAAGGCGGGTGGGGGGGGTCTTCACTCATCCAGCAGTAGAGAGACAAAGGCGGGTGGGGGGGGTCCTCACTCATCCAGCAGTAGAGAGACAAAGGCGGGTGGGGGGGGTCCTCACTCATCCAGCAGTAGAGAGACAAAGGTGGGTGGGGGGGGGTCCTTACTCATCCAGCAGTAGAGAGACAAAGGTGGGTGGGGGGGGTCCTCACTCATCCAGCAGTACAGAGACAAAGGCGGGTGGGGGGGGGGTCCTCACTCATCCAGCAGTACAGAGACAAAGGTGGGTGGGGGGGGGTCCTCACTCATCCAGCAGTAGAGAGACAAAGGTGGGTGGGGGGGGTCCTCACTCATCCAGCAGTAGAGAGACAAAGGTGGGTGGGGGGGGTCCTCACTCATCCAGCAGTAGAGAGACAAAGGTGGATGGGGGGGGTCTTCACTCATCCAGCAGTAGAGAGACAAAGGTGGGTGGGGGGGGTCTTCACTCATCCAGCAGTAGAGAGACAAAGGTGGGTGGGGGGGTCTTCACTCATCCAGCAGTAGAGAGACAAAGGTGGATGGGGGGGGGTCCTCACTCATCCAGCAGTAGAGAGACAAAGGTGGGTGGGGGGGTCCTCACTCATCCAGCAGTAGAGAGACAAAGGTGGGTGGGGGGGGGGTCCTCACCCATCCAGCAGTAGAGAGA